AACGAAGAACAGAGAACCTTATTCCCTTTCTCAACTCATTTATACCAGGTTTCTATTGCAGTTCCGCTTTTTAACCAAATTGACTTCTAACCGGTAAATACGCTTTGAAATAACTTTGAATATGTACATATACATATATGCCTTCAATTCATACTGAAAAATCTGAAGAATAAAAAAAAATATTAAATATATTTAACTCTTTGTGAGTGTCACCGAGTCTTTGAGACCTCAGCTTATATTTATGATAGACACAAACTAAGGCAATAATTAGTCTAACAGCCAATCTGACGGAAGCAATTTGTGTGAAATTTAATTTTAAATATAATGAATAAAATTTAAAAAAAAAGTGGGTAGTAGAAAAAATATTACTCCGACTGTTATTGGAAGTACTAAGTACTGTTTTTTATAAAAAGAATACAACAACTCTAAATAAATTTAATTTTTCTTTAGGTATTCCAATAACTACAATTTGCTTCTTAGGGTCCATATGACCCAATCCCACTCGCGGCGGGTTAAGCGCGATGAATGTGGTGCTAATTTTTGTGTCAACAAAATGTGAGTACATACATACATACATACATATATTTATTTATCCGCAAAGCTTTTCGCGTTTTATTTTGTGTAAATTCACGTATTTACATACAAATGGTTGATCGTGTCTTGCACGGTTGCTGCAAAACAATTGAAACAACATTTTACGGTGCGCATAACCTCCAAAAACACATGAATAAAGTCAATTCATAGGCAGGTACAACTCGAAGCCGGATCTGCGGCTGGTGAGCAGATGCGCATAGAGAGGTTTTGTTGTTATAAATATATGTACCAATGTGTGAAGAAAGGAAGTGAAAACCGGAAAATGGCACAAAATGCATTTTTGAATGTTGCAAAGTGAAATTTTGTACATTCGTACTTACATATGTATGGACTGGTATTAACAAGTATATGTATGAATGTTGTATGTAGATTAGGGTGGGTCAAAAAACCGCATATTATTTTTCGCTTGGTATTCTGAAAATTGGTTGACMGACAACTCAAGAAATTCTCTCCAACGGTTTTTTATATTTTCTTATTAACAGCTAGAAAAATTTGTGTTTTGCTTCCAACTAATTTAAAACAATTTTGTTTTAGACTTTATAGCAAAATTGAATGCTTTTCAAAAAAGATCCTAAACGACTTAACCGTTGAAAAGATTGATTATTTTAAGGAAAATGATTTTCTTACAATTTTTATAATTCAGCGAAAAAAAGTTATTCTAAATTTTAAATATTCTGGCTTTGGAGGAAATTTACTGTGAAAAAACACTGAATTTTTTTTTTACCCACCCTAATGTACATATATGCAATATTGAGTTGCATATTGCATTTATTTGTAGGTAAAACCAGTGAGTAATAGTGAAGTTTTACAGTTATGTTAGTACACACTTATATTTACGTCGTCTTAACCTTTCAGCGAAAACATAAGCTGATAAAACGGGCGACTTGTCTAAAATATAATATTAACCGACTTTGCTGTGGGTTTTTGAGCGTTTACAATTAAATAAATTCTCAGAAATTTGAAGTGAAGTTTTTACAAAAAAAAAAAAAAATAGTTTTTCATAAGTTAAAGAAACTTTTCAGACTGGTCGACCACTAATCCAGTAGCGTCCCTTTACTTCCTAAAAGGAAAAAATTGGACAAAGAATATACAAATCACTTTGATACCAGACGAAAGATCCGTCTCTTAGTAACCCTTGGATATACAGAAAGTTTTTAGAAGTACTCCTCTTCATATAATCGTGTTTAGTAGCAGTAAAAGCTGATCAAGTGGGGATACACCGAAGTCAGACGCGTCAGCAATAGTAAGTTTGTAGGAGCCCTTGCAGYTCTGCCATGCGCTTGTCTGAAGTTTTGTTCTTTTTCCCCGCCTTTTGACCCAAATACATTACTAGGCGATCATTATTAGAAAAAACTATACTTTCTTTTTTACTAAACATAACTTAGTTGAGATTTATTGGAGAGGCCAATAACCCTATTGAGTGTACTAGCGCTTGTGGTATAGTCATATTAACCTCTTTACCTTTTACCAATAAATAACGAAATTMATTTTAGGTTTTTCATAAAATGTTTTCATAATAAACTGTTGTCAAACTGAAATAAACGGATCAACTTTTGTATTTCTTTCCAAAATGGGGCATTGAGAGATGGGTTGGAAATAAATACAAATTAACACTCTTCTTGTACTCCTTCAAGCTGATGAGGATTCTGAGGTTGAAATATACTATATTATATATATTTCTAAAAATAAATGTAAAATTTAATAATAAAAATGTAACTTCAATTTCAGTTCTATGGACTATCAGCAATCATTCAGCTTAAGAGAAAGATAGCTGAATATATTTTTTAGTATTAATAAATAMTTGGAAGTCAATTTAAACTTTCCCCAAAGTGTTGCTAAAGTTTAAGGAAAGATTATTTCAGGTAAGAAACATATAGATATTTTTTGTGAATAGGATATTTCACCACAAAAACAATTTGTTGAGGTTCGCAGTCCTAACTCACACGCTGGAATACTCGCATGCAATATGCTGAGTTTCTGGAAGACAACTCTATACAAAGCTTGTTGTTGTTTATATGTATAGGGTATCTGTTGCATTTCCTGAGAAAATTTACCACAGTAGTATATATATTATTTATATTATTATATAGTTACAAATTTCAAAAATCCGATCCGAATAAACATTTTTACTAATACTAAGACTTAAAATGCTGTTAAAATACGGTACACTACGGTATATATATGTATTAGTATGTACAAATTTTTGGAAAAACTTTTACTAGACTTTTTCATATAAATTTTGAGGTTATGTGAAAAAGTTTATACTATATATAATAGTTAAAGAACTTTTTATTTTCAAAAATATTGATTTTTTTTTTCTATAAAACTCTTAGTTTTGCCGGAAATCGGGGTACAAAGTTTTTAACCCTAAAAATATCCAACCACACCCTCCCTGCTTTTTTCCGACCGCAGATCGATCGTAATTATTTTTTTTAATGTTTGTCATTTTAGCTTTCGTTTTCGATGGTTTTCAATATATTATGATTTTCTTTCTTTTTTATCATTTTCAAAGGCTTCTRCTTTCTRAAGTAACTTTTATACCCTGAACAGTGCATATTAAGTTTGCCATGAAGTTTGTAGCACACCCCTCTGGGGTCCCCAGAGACCCTATAATGAATATATTAAAATGAGCTGAGTCGATATAGCCAAGTMAGTCGGCCAGTCKGTCTGTTTGTAAATGCACAAACTAATCTGCAGCATGTGAGCTACCGAACAGAAATTTTGCAGACATCTTTTCGCCAAAACCAAAACCCGGTTTTAGTTCATTTAAGTAGATTGTTTACGCGAACTTCAATTATTTCTCGCAAATTAAGTGAGTCAAACATGTTGACAGGTCGTAAGTGGCACTCAGATCACCAAATATTTCTTACTAACCTCAAAGTTCAATCCAAGCTCAACTGACTTATAAAATTCAGACGAATAAAATAAATTAGAAGCAGTTTTTTATATTGAATTATTTTTAGATTGCAACCAGTGATTTCATATTTTATAGCCACCTTTCTCGCCTAAGTATGTATATTGACACACGGTGTAGAAACGTTTCGRGATAGCGCCACTTTGAATACAAAAGCGGCTTGAAGATAGTCAGCTTTTAAAGCATTTTTAATGCTAATGTGGGGAAATGCCAACGATGAAAAATGCACACACAATACTGACAACAAAGAAACATTAAAAAAAAATTACATAAAATAGGTGTACAAGGCATTAAAAAAATCATTTCAAATACGATACACTCATTATTGTTACAAATATGGCAGCCAGCGGCTTTTAAAGTGAAGCGGCTTGTAAAGCGTAAGTTGAACAAATAGTTTGCACATATGTATGTATGTATACATACACTTGCATATATGTATATTGTATATGTATGTATGAGTACTCGTACTTAAATTAAGTAATTTGTGGTTTTCCCCAAAAACGCCTAAATCACTGCAAATTCACGAAAGTCGGAGCGACGCGCGGCCAACCAGCGCAAGGTGATTGCGTGGGCGCGTAAAGTAGATAAATAAATAATTTTATTTGTTTGCATATTTGTTGCGCTTAATGCGAATTATTGGCAATTACTGCTTCCAAGTAGCAAGGCTATTTATTTATTTTATTTATTTATTTTTTTTGTTTTTTGCGTGGAAAAATTAAGTGCACGAACTGCATGGAAATTATTGAAAAATAAAATTTTATACAATAATTTTAAAATAATTTCAAAATAGATTTCAACTGCAGCTAATTTATGGCTGCATGCATAGCTGATTTTGGATTTCTTACTTTGATTTGTTTGCCTCCCTTGCTTGGCTGTGTGATGATATAAGTGACCCGTTGAACCGGTCAGGCGTTCTCCTCTCGCTTTTTCTACAATATAAAWCTTATGGCGAAAACACTTGTAACAACTCTGTGTTGCAGAAGCTAAACCAATTTCTTTTATTTTCTATATTTATTCTTATTATTATTATTTTTTGTTTGCACGTCAAGTTCGGCTTTTATCACCTTTTTTTTAAACTACAATCAATTACTTATATTTGTATATTTCCACTTTCACTTTATTATTGCATAAAACACGTCTCAATTCCACAGATGCTCAAGTCGGACTGAAAGTTTCCAATTATGAACGCCAWATGCAGWGCTCAGTTTGGTGCGTTTGCTTTMGTTTTTTTAATATTGCGCTTACTGAGTCGAGCTTAGAGCTTTCAATGGCGAGCAATACAACTACACATCGTCACCTAAAATGCAAAATAACGTAACATCACTTTTCATAAGTTTACAGACGCAGAAAAAACATTATAAACATTAGAAACCACTCACAATGAAAAAAATTTGAGTTTTGATTATAAAATGGTTATATATTGGTTATAACTGACGGTTGCTGAAAATTGTATGCTACAGATTTCTAATATGAATAATGAATTGTAAACAATAAAAAACTCAATTTCGGCTTTTTGTTGTTACGCTGTTTTGCATTTTAGGTTTCACGATATAGTAGTTATTAAATATGGCAGCCGGTGCCCTGGCGCTCAGACAACATATTACACAGCTGTAAGCTCACAATCGATTATTTTTAAAAATTATTATAAATTGTTATGGTTTAGTTACAAAAAAAAAAAATAAATAAATAAGAACAAAACAAAACTTTAACTTCGACTACACTGAAGCTATAATACCCTTTATATACGGCTTATTATGTCCGATATGAACAATTTTTTCCGAGCAAATACATTTGCTTTTGACAATAATCAATGCCATAAATCGTGAAAATATCTCGTCAAATTAAAAAGTTTTTCTACAAAAACAGATACTTAATCATTCAGTTTGTATGCTAGTTATATGCTCTGTCATGTCGTTGTGGCGAATTTCGTGAAAAGATCTTAGTATACATCCTCACAAGATGAAATTGACGCAAGAACTGAATTCTATGTAGTTCAGCTATACAGTCACTTAAAACTTTAAACGGTTTTTTTTGGACTGTCGGTCGCTTGTCAACATTTCTCGTAAATTACTTAAGCGATCTTAAGTCTTCGATGYATAATTCACAAGTTCTTGAGCGAAGATTTTTTTTTTGTTTAATTACAACTAATTAAAAAAAAACTTCGACAAATTTTCTCCAAAATTTGCATTTCTATGTAAAAACAAAAAGTCTGCCATTAAAAACAGTTTTTTTTTTTCTTTTTACCCCGGATGATCCTATAAGAATTTCTGCTGTCAACGCGGAGSCACCTTTTTTTCCAAGGAATGTATGTACATATGTTTCCAATATTAAAAAGTTTGAATATTGAAATAGGTGTTCGAGGAAACTCATGTAACACCTTAAAAAGTCATAAATTTTATTAATTCGGTCATTTCCTCAAACCAAAGTCTTGAAATAGTCGCATTTTTAGTGCAAATCCTTTGAATTGAACCCAACTTTGYACCTCGGTATTTTGTTCGTCATTTCTTTTTATCTTAGTATAAAATAACCGCAAACAACATGTGGAGTAGGGTTAATAACTGTGTTCCCGAATAATATTACTCAAGTTTTAAATTAAAAAATTACGCGATTATTGTGTGTGAAGTCATGCAAGTTGTGGTTTATATGAAATTATAATATCATAATTGTGATTTACTTGGAAAAACAAGAATATTGATACCAAGCAATGTAAAATGAAATATTCTTTTTTTTGACTACAAACTTCTTGCTCAATTTGTTTAACCAGCCAAGTCATTCATCATAAAAGTGTCGATATTTAGATTTTTCTCAATTTCCGATCAAGCAAATTCTCGGTGAAATGTTTCAATTTGCGTACCAATATGGTTATACCGAAGCTCATATTAATTAACGAACAGGGGATTCACATTCGAGCATAGTCTAGTTGGAATGTGCTTCTATTATGGCCAGAATTCACACACATACATTGTGACAAAGGAGTACCCGGAAATTGTAATTTAAACTACCCGGGTAAATGATATTGAAAAAATATGTACATATGTACATACATATGGTATTAAGTTGGTACAGCTGTCCTTAATTACTATGTCAAATATGTGCGTGAACTGTTAACCAGTTTCTTTACAGCAACTGCTGAAGTCGGTACACCACAGTAATGTGTTACGATTTTTACAATGGATAAATTTTATGTTTCTAACAAAATTTCGTGTGCGGTATCGTTGTAAATGTTGGAAAGGCTTACATTGATTCAGTTCTATCAGAAACACAAACCTTTGAGTGGTACAAAGTCTTTCTTGACGGTCGAGAGATCGTTGAAGACATGCCGCCTTCTGGACGATCTTCGACTTCTTCAACTGATGAAAATATTATAAAAGTGAAGGGCATGGTGCATCGTCAGGCAAGTGTTAGAGAGATAGAAAGACAGCTCGTCATCTCTCGCGAGTCCGTTCGAATAATGTAGGTATATATTTTGGGTATGAAACGCGTTTTTGCTAGACTCGTCCCGATAAAGATGAATTGTTTTTAAATGGATGTAAAAAACGAACCGAGACCAAAAAAAAAAAATGCATCATGAATTTGTTCTGGAGCGACAGACGGTTAATAAGGAGTTCTATTTGGCCGTATTAAGGCGTTTGCGTGAGAGTATCTGACGAAAAAGGCCGGAATTGTGGAAGTACAATTCATAGATTTTACACAATAATAATGCACCATCGCATCGAGCCACCATTTATGACCGAATTTAAAGCCAAAAACGCAATAAATACAACCGATCAACCACAACAAATAAAGATAGATTATTAGCGGTTTTGCAAAATTTTAATTAATTTTATACAGGAAGCCGTTTATGTTTATATTTTATATACCTATGTAATTCTGAGTTTCTTCAGTACTGTATTAATATTTCTCAGTAGTGTCATCCTATTTTCGAGAGAAGATGGAATGACACGACACTTACATTATACACACGGCGCCGATTACAAATTAAACAAAGATACACAACTTTCTAGCATGCTTCCGATGTCAAGCACTACTCACGATACTTTCAAGACCATTTGTGTTAACAGACCTCAGTTGACATTTCTGTGAACCATTGTTTAAAATATTGGGAAGGATTTCTCCACTAATTCTTGTTCTCCGCACGGGTTTTTAAGGGAAATCTACAGTAACTAATTTGCTGGAATTATATCACATATGTCAACGGGCTCTAGGGAGAATAAGCATTGCTCAAATTGATAGCAAAAACCGTAAAAGAATAATAAATAAATGAATAATAATCAGTTTCATTCTAATTTAAAATCGTTAAAACGGTTTCTGGATTCTGACATTTCTACATATTATCGTATATGGACAAAGGCGACTACCGACATAGGTTCCTGTGGTAGCCGATGGCAAATCGTACTGTATATTTTGGTATACGATTAGCGAATGGAAACTATATTGCTATGCAATAATGATGCCAAGTACCAATTTAAAACAAAAAAAAAAAACAATATTCTAAATAAACTAAAAAATATTGTAACAAAATGCATTCATCAAAAAAAAGTATGTGAGGACTGATGAAAAATGCATGTCCAACATACTACAATTGGAAAAGCATGTACATACCATCAGATTGCAGTCAAAAATTAACACTTAACACTATAAAATGAATCAGAAGCGTCCCAATATCCAGTCAGCCGATTTAATAACGAGATTCAACGTTTTTTTACTTTTGCGCCTCTCCAATCAGCTCTTATAATAGGCAACATATGAGCGAAATCCAATTACTTCATCAGCGTCTATGGTTATAGAAAAGTGTATTATCAAATATTTGCAAATTCAAATTGAGAAATTTTATCAATACCATTGCATAAAGCAGTTTCTATAAAATTCCAAGATCCTCGGGGTAACAACTTCTCAACACTCATTTCTACTATAAGCAATTTCTATAACAGCAACTACCGCTCCACAACTCCACATACTATGGTCAGTAACCAATAAATTTTAAACTATTATTATTCCAAAGAGAAACATAGAAAATGAAGAACTTTAGTTATATTAATATTTGAAAATTTTCTATTTCAATGGCAAACAATTCAAAATGATAAGAATTGGCAATGCCGCTGGTGTTATAGTGAAATACCCATATGCAATCGCAACTAAGTTCACAAAGTAAAAATCTGTGAAACTGAAAACTGTGTAAAAAGTGTGTAGCTCTGCGAATTGGAATAAAAAATGCAGTAAAAAGTGTAAATTAAGAACGGAAACAATATAAAAATGGCAATCCAAAAGCCAGGCGAGTGGGCGAACTCACTTTTAGCCCGTTTCGAAGACCAGGTGAGCGTAAAAGTTGAATTTTCACTTGGTTTCGCCCAGGGGCTCCTGTAGAGCTATGCAAAAAAGCTGTCAGAAAATGTCCCTATCGATTGAAAAATTTCCCACTGTGCGAATGCGACAGCAAGTGTGTGCGAATGAAATAGTTGACGTTTGTTATTGTTTTGGGAAATTCATTTGTTTACGTTTTGTTTACACCGGCTGCGGTAGTGGTTGGGGGAGATTATGAATGAGATTGGATTATACGTACAAAGTTTATGAATGAATTGYAATTGCCAGTGTAAATGAAAAGTGAAAATAGGGAAATTTTATCGTAACGCCACTAGTTGCAGCGCATGAATGACAGAACAAATGAATGATTTTACTTTACACTGAACTACTGAATTAGCGAATGCGTACGCTAACTGTGGGAAATTTGCTAGTGTATTTGATTGTTTTTTTTTTTTTTGTAGTTACCACTAATTTCAAATGTATCTGTTTTATTTTTGCTATTAATGAAATGTAAATAAATAATATATATGTATTTATTCAGTTATTAGTTAATGATTATAATTTCTTATTCATATAATTGTATAATATAGCTGCCCAATAAAATTGGTTTGCATGGCACCCAAGCGCGCTTGAGTCAGGATCAGCTGACCGCCTGTCTCATACAAATTTCTCGTTATCGCTTCTCACTAGTTATATCTGGACTCACCAAAATGCTGCAACGAGTTAATGAAGCGGTAAATGTCTTTCTTATTAATATTTTTAAATTTAATTGTAATAATTTTATATTATTTTCTTTACAGTCTATGCAAAGTCGTCACGACGCTGAGCGTTGTTATTTTGAATCACTAGTCATAATATTAACAACTCTGGAGCGTTGTTTGGCTAATCAGACAAAGGATACGGCACGTTTTGAGGAAGCAATGAATGTTAAACTACTTTTACGCGAAATTTCGCAATTCATCGATGTACAGAGTGATAATAATCCAAATGCCGCGCAGTTGAAAGCTATTGCGTCAAGAGTGCTTTTCGGACTGTCACAAAATCATTTTTCAGCTGTATTTAATCGCATATCAGCGCGCATACAAGAGTTGATCACGTGCTCAGATGAGAATCCCGACTGTTGTGACATTGAATTAATACAACATATTGACATGGACATAAATAAATTAACCAAACTTTTGCAAGGTGAAAAATAATTGCCAATTCTCCTATTTTTCTTAACTAAACGTTTTACACTACTTTTAAAACTATTTTTTAACAATTAGTGACCAAGTCAAGATCGAAGAAGGCGCCGCCTTTGATTTTGCTGCATTCGTTAGAAAAAGCCATTTGGAACTGGATTGAATACCATCCACATGAATTTCAGGATTTGCAACGCGGCATTGCCACCAAAGATATTTCAAGGTACAAAAATGTCATATTTAAGTTTTTATGCCCTGAACAGAGCACATTAAGTACGCCATGAGTAACTTGAAAATGGTCGTTGTTGTTGTTGTAACGGCAGAATTCTGCCGAGTTGACAGTCCTTGGCCGGATAAAAATCCGGGTCCGTTCCGGTTTTCGTAGACCCGACTGTCGTGGGAACGTGGTCTTATAGCTTCGGTGCTCCCGAAGTTAACAATTTTTCTTGTTTCAACTTAACCTTTTGTTAATTTTTCAGCTGCTGGGAAACATTGCTGGAATTTGTGGAAGCATATAAAGCAGAAAATAAGAAAAACAAGACAACCGTCTGGCCCTTACAAATGCTATTGCTTATACTGAATCCCGTAAGTTTGCATTTTCTGTCGACATTTAAAAACCACATACTAATTTTTTCCCAATATAGAGCTGCTTAGAAGCCACCGTCAATGAATTGCAACAATCTGAAAAGGAGAAGGATAAGGAAAAATACAGAGATAAAGATAAAACGTCATTAACGCAAAATTCTGTGCAAACTGCACGTGACAAAGAGCAATCTGCTAAGCAATTTATTGAGGGTATTAAACGTGGCTTGGGGCCACACTCACCCTCAAAGCAGGTCACCGAGTATGCCGCTATTGCTTGTGTAAAGCTATGCAAAGCCTCAACATATGTCAATAACAACGATTCCAATAATGTGCTCTTCAAATTAGTGCAGTATGTCATTAATGATTTGAAAGCTTTGCTCTTTAATCCGGTCAAGCCATTTTCGCGTGGTCAGGCGTACAATTATGCTGATATTGAGCTGATGATCGACTGTTGGGTTTCACTATTTCGCATAAATCCACATAATATCGACACATTGAAAGTCTGTCTTAATTTGTCTTCACCGCAAGCGTATCACTTTGTAATTGTCTGCTCTTTGTTGAGGTAAATAATATTATTATACTCAAAAAAAAAAAAATTATGTTTTTTTTTGGTCGCACCCTAATACACATATTTTATAAAATTGCTTTTATTTTTTATGTTTTCTACAGATTAACACACATACATGTGGATTTTCGTCTACAAAATAAAAACTGTTTCCGCACCATCCATCAGCCAATACTATCTTGGTGGGCCAAAACCAATGTTGTACACTATCGTTCTGCAGAATTGCGCGCACTCTTCACCGATACCTTGAATAAGGCCACTCAGGGTTATATTGCGCACACGCCACTGCGTATGATAACATCGCTGACGCTGAAATCGAAAGATACGCAGAAAGGCTTGACGCGTTCCGAAGAGGGACCTGCACACAAAATGCTGCTGCTCCTCTTGGTTCGMCTTATACACGCTGACCCGATGTTACTTTTAAATGTAATTACATACATATTATTTTTTAGTATATTTGTATTATATAAAATTTCGTTACTTGTAGACACAAGGTAAAGTGGCGCATGAAATGCAAAGTTCCTCGCTCGAGCTCATCAATGGTCTGGTGAGTCTCGTGCACCAACCCACCATGCCCGATGTAGCGCAGGAAGCTATGGAGGCATTACTAGCTTTACACTCATACGATAAAATTGAATTGTGGAATCCACAGGCGCCAATGAATTGCTTTTGGGATGTTAGTTCGCAAGTGCTTTTTTCGATTTCGCAAAAACTTATACAACACCAGATTGCCAACTATACGGATGTGCTGAAATGGATGCGTGGCATACTGAGTTGTCGCAATGACTATCTGCAGCGGCACAAGAAGTAYGCACTGGTCGGTCATGAGCTRCAGATCTGTCGTCAGGCGCGCATTAAACTGGAAGTGGTGTTCTTCATGTATCTGTGGTCAGTCGATTTGGATGCAGTGCTCACGTCACTCTCTTGCTTTGGCCTCTTATGCCAAGAGTCGGATATTTTGTTGACGGCAGATGATTCGGCGACTGTSTTGCCTGTTGCGAACTATCAAATATATCAGGAGCTGACGCAATTGGCAAGCTGTGAGTGTTGCGACAATGTTTTTATGAATAAGTACAAATGAAAATTAATTGTTTCTGCTTGTTACAGCGGATACCCGTATTTGTTTTTATGAAACTAATCATGGCAATGCTTACAGTGAGTGAATTAGTTTAATATAATTTTAAAACTTTTTGATTTTATTAAAAAAAAWTTTTTTAATRATTCTAGACCGTCTGGCTCTACAACGACGTATGATGAATTTGTTGCGCAAAATCGAGCACTGTGTTGATGGCGTACAAACAGCGTGGGAGGAAACCTTTAGGTATTATTGCATTTTTTTATTTTAAAGATATTTAAATTCTTATTTTTTTA